CACCGTGAAATCCTCCATCAAGAACTTGGTGCTCAGAGATGCTTCTACAGTGGTGAGCATCAGGCTGAGATGGATGGGCGGGGGACTCTCTTCCCTCCTTCTCCCCTCCCTAGCTCTCACCCCATCAACCCCTTGCTCCGCAGATCCCAGTGATGGTGTACTTGGACCCCATGGCTGTGGTGGCAGAAGGAGTCCCCTGGTGGATCATCCTCCTGGCCGTGCTGGCTGGGCTGCTGGTACTGGCACTGTTGGTGCTGCTGCTGTGGAAGGTGATTAGAAGGAGAGGTGGTGAGGTGGTGATGGAGGCTGGAATTCGGGCCAGGTGCTCAGCCTCCCATACTGAGGTTCCCTCACTCACCCACACACTCACGTTCCATGGCTTTACACTGCGTACTTTTCCCAGCATGCACCAGGAGCTCCATCATACCTTTCAAAGAGGATTCAGATCTGAATGTTGACCTTAGGAAATTTATAGTCTAGAGGGATGGTGAGCCTTGTAGTCAAGGGCAAGGCAGAAGGTATCGAGTTCAGATCATGGGCATGAGTTCAGAGGAAGAAAGGCTTGAGTTCAGAGGAGCCGTGGCTCAAAACGAAGGGTCTTCTGCCCTGTTTCCTTGGGAGGAGTCGACTGTGAAGTCCTTAGAAATGACTGCTCAATGCGCTGGGGACGTGGCCTAGTGACAGAGTGCTAGCCTACGATGTATGAAGCCCTGGGTTCCATTCCGCAGTACCATATAGACAGAAAAAGCTGAAAGTGGTGCTATGTGGTAGAGTGCTAGCCTTGAGCAAAAGAAGCTCAGAGACAGTGCCCAGACCCTGAATTCAAGTCCCCAAACTGGCAAAAAGAAAAGAAACGATTGCTTATGATTGCTCTGGGTAATGTCTGCGGGTGGACAGGATGGGTGGGTATGGCCTGCGTCTTCCAGAATGACCATGGTAGGCAAAGCCAGGGGGGCAGGAAAGGGTGGCTTGCTTTCAGCAGAATGTGGCAGTGAAGGCTGTAAAGAAAGCTGTGGCCAGAGCCTCCATGTATGGTAAAGTAGCTTCAGGGAAGTGCCTGAAAGACACTCTAAGTGCCACATGGAATCACTGTCATCTGCCAAGAGCTGTCATGGACTCCCGGCACCATCTGGAAGTCAACATACCAGCACATACACGTACACGTCAGTGGAGGAAGGGCTGGTCCTCCCGGGACTACACGTCCTCAGGTGGGGCCATCGTCCATACAGAACCATCAGTGTCCCAAGGCCTGTGGAGAGCTTTCCTGCCACGTGTTCCTTCAGACCAGTCACAGCGCTGAGCACACCCCTCCCCGCCCCCCCCCCCCGGCCAGTGCGTGCCATCAGAGGACCTGCCTCTGGAGTGGCACCCAAGCTGTTGGGAACGTGTCCATTCTTAGAGGAGCTGTTTTGAGTTCAGGAAGCTGGCCCAGGGTGCTTGCCTTTCTGCCACCAGCAGAGGAAAGGGATCCTCTTTCCTCAGTTTCCCCATCATCCTCCTCTTTCCCTCCTTTCTCCCTCCACATCCCAGTGTGGCTTCTTCCACCGGAGCAGTCAGAGCTCAGCTATTCCCACCAACTATCACCGAGCCCATCTGGCCGTGCAGCCTTCGGCCATGGAAGTTGGGGGCCCAGGGACTGTGGGGTAACTGTTGTGTGTGTGTGTGCATGTGTGTATGTACATGAGTGGCAGTAAGTTCAGATGCCAGCATTCAGGGGTTCAGGAAGGGAAGGACGCAGGGTGAAGAGGTACGTGTCTGCATGAGGGCCAAGGGAGTCCTAGCGGCCAGGGTAAGAAGTTATCAGTGGGGTGAGATGATCAGGGTGAGCAAACAGAGCTGAGGGGCTCTACAAAGGGAGGGAGGCTCGAGGAGTGTGGGCATGTGGTCATGTGAGGGTGGTTCCTTGCATGTCTTTTCTACAGGCATGAGTGTACAGATATGAGTGTGCAAGGAGATGCTCTGTAGCCCGAGCATGGAGGAGTCTTGGCAGTTCTGAGGATGCATTATCATCTTGGTGTATTAGCTCAGCATGGCCATGATTCTGGGTGGAATCCTGAGCAAGATGGCACTCAGCGTACAAACAGTGTCTGTTTATGGGGCTTGAGGTCTCTGAAGAAACTAGCTGGGTACCAGTGGCTCACACTTATATCCCTGGCTACTCAGGAAGCTGAGATCTGAGTATCATCATTTGAAACCAGCCTAGGCAGGAAGGTCTGTGATACTTTTTTTTTTGGTCATTTTTTAACTTGGGGCCTGGGCACTGTCCCTGAGCTCCTTTTTTTTTTTTTTTTTTGGTCGGTCGTGGGGCTTGAACTCTGGGCCTGGGTGCTGTCCCTCAGCTCTTCAGCTCAAGGCGAGTGCTCTACCATTTGAGCTACAGCGCCACTTCCGGTTTTCTGGTGGTTTATTGGATAGAAGTCTCACGGTCTCTCCTGCCCGGGCTGGCTTTGAACCACGATCCTCAGATCTCAGCCTCCTGAGTAGCTAGGATTACAGGCGTGAGCCACCAGCGCCCTGAGCTCCTTTTGCTCAAGGCTAAAACTCTACCACTCTGAGCCACTGCTCCATTTCCTGTTTTCTGATAGTTAATTGGAGATAAGAGTCTCACGGACTTTCATGCCTGGGCTGATTTTGACCTGCAATCCTCAGATCTCAGCCTCTTTAGTAGCTAGGATTACAGGTGTGAACTACCAGTACCCAGCTTGTGAAACTCTTATCTACAGGTAACCACTAAAAGCCAGAAGTGAAGCTGTGGCTCAAGTGGTAGAGTGCTAACCTTGAGTAAAAAAGCTCAGGGACAGGCCCTTAGTTCAAGCCCCAGAACCAGTACAAAATAAATAAAAGAAGCTTGGGTGGATGGAAGGAAACCTTTGGAGTCAGAGGTCTTGATGCTCTGGCTTCCAGCCTGCCTTTCAGTGACTATGGAAGATTTCCTCAGTCTGGTACCAGGAGTTTCTCTCTCTGTGAATGAACATCTGGGGCCCTGGGGGCTGCCCACTGGGAGCAAGAGCAGGTTCTGTGTTGTACTGCTATTTGCTCCAGGGCCCACAGCCCTGCGAACTCTCCATGGGCCTGGTTTGGTGTCTGTACAGATGGGATTCTTCAAGCGGGCGAAGCACCCCGAGGCTACCGTGCCCCAGTACCACGCAGTGAAGATCCCTCGGGAAGATCGACAGCAGTTCAAGGAGGAGAAGACGGGCACCATCCTGAGAAGCAGCTGGGGCAGTCCCCGCAGGGAGGGCCCTGACACACACCCCATCTTGCCTACCGATGGACAGTCTGAACTGGGCCCTAATGGACATCCCGTGCCAGCCACCGCCTAGCTTCCTTAGTCCCATGCTGGCCAGAGGTTTCCTTTACCCCTTCTCAAGTGGCTCCCCAGAATGAAGAAGGTGGAGGGGATTGCTGGGGTGGTAAGCAGGGCCTGCTTCCTCAAGGGGTGCAGACCTCTCCCGCCCGGGGGGAACCACCCCTCCCCTTTAGAATGCTATGGAACAAGAGGGGGGGGTCAGTCAGGGGAGGACCGTGGACAGGGCAGGAAGGGGAAGGAGGCCCTGATAGAAGGTGGGAAGAAGGGATCCCAATCTTCCCTCTTCCATTCACTCCGACCTCTCTCTCTTCCCGTTACCCTAGTAACCTGTCTCCCCCAAAGTGCCTTAGCCAGAGGGTCAGGGAGGAGATTGTGTTGTGGACTCAGGGGCTCCTTCCTTCCAATTTCCCCTCTCCTCTCACCTTAGTTTGCCGCATTAGTCTAGTTGGTTTTGTTTATTTATTAAAAAAATTGGAAGAAAAAAAATAGCCCTCTGGCTTCTTTATTGTGTAATAGTCCTTTACCCTCTGGCACCCTGGCATCTTAGGACAAAGGTGGTGGGGGGTGAGGTAGGCTCATGTGGCCTAGGATCCATGTATCATGACTTTTGGGACCAGTTCCCTGGGGCAATGACTTCGGGGGCCAGTTCCAAGGGGTATGTGGGTATAACTTCAGGAGGTGGGCAGGGGAAACTGTTCTGTGGGGTGTGGAAAAGGGATGGGGAAGTGGGTGGGCAAAATCCAAGAATTTGCAATTAAGAGTTTGACCAGGTGAGGCTGGGTGCTAGAGGCTTCCACCTGTAATCCTAGATGTGTAGGGGGCTGAGATCGGAGGATCATGGTTCAAAGCCTGTCCAGGCAGGAAAGTCTAGGACACTTATCTCCAATAAATTTCCAAAAAGTCAGAAATAGAGCTGTGGTGGCTCAAGTGATAGAGCACCAGACTTGAGCAAGACGGTTTAGGATCAGCACTGAGGCTCTGAGTTCAAGCCTAGGATTCTCTCTCTCTCTCTCTCCCCCTCCCTCTCCCTCTCTCTCTCTCTCTCTCTCTCTCTCTCTCTCTCTCTCTCTCACACACACATGAGTTTGATAGGGTGTAAAGATTGCCTCCCTTTGGGCAGGGTGGGTTGGGAGGGGGGGGTAGGGAGGAAATAGGGAATGGTGAAGGGAAGCGTTTCTCATTCCTTTCTAGATCTCTTTCTTTTTCTTTCTTTGGGGGCAGGGGGCAGGTCAGTCATGAGGCTTGAACTCTGGGCCTGGGCGCTGTTCCTCAGCTCTTTAGCTCAAGGCTAGCACTCTACCATTTGAGCAACAGTGCCACTTCTGGTTTTTTCTGCTTATGTGGTGCTGAGGAATTGAACCCAGGGCCTCATGCATGTGAGGCAAGCACTCTACCACTGAGCCACCTTCCCAGCCCCAAGATCTCTTTCTTTAAAATAAAAAAAATGCTATTATAAAGGTGACATAGAGGGCTGGGAAGTTGGCTCAGTGGTAGAGCACTTGCCTTGCATGCATGAGGCCCTGGGTTCGATTCCTCAGCACCACATAAGCAAAAAGATAAAAAGCCGGAAGTG